CATTAATTTGTTATACTTCTGAGGTGATAATTACTTTACAAGGATAGGACATTTTTTAATTTTTTTTTTTTTCTGTTGCTCATAGTTTGAAATTTCCCTGTTTACATATTTTATCTTTCAATTCCTAAAGAAAATGAATTAATGTTGATTTATTGCATATAGAAATACAATTGTGGCACAAGATTTAAAAGAGGGGGAATGGGTTGAGGCTGGTTGACAGTATGTTATACCTAGCTAATTAGATTTACAACCTATACATTCATTCATTCATTACAATTTGCACATCCAATATAAAAGCTTGTCTGTCATCATTCAATCCTCCACACACACACACACACACGCAGAGGAAACCTAAAAAAACGCCCCCTAACATAAAGTCTTACATAAAATATTAATAAAAATTTCTTGATGGTAAGCAATGAGTGTGGGAGGGGATGAACATGAAAATGAACTAAAATATACAAACTAATGATAACTGATGTTAGTAGGACTCGTCCACCCCTCAAAGAAATAAGAGAGGCCGCTATATTTTGTCTTCAGACAAAATCAAGAGGCTCTCTTGCTGGGGGGAGGGAATAAAATAAATATGACCTTGGGGAAAAACTGACTCGGTTAATAAGAAAAAAGTGGGGCAAAAAGCAAACTGAGAAGGTTTGAGAATCTCTGCTTGGATCATAACCAAAGAAGCCGGGCACAGACTAAAAACAACACTTACATTAACTAGGTATACAAGAAGGGTCTATCCTAAAAAGAGAGGGCTCCACAGGAAGCCACCCCATTGTGACATAGGTAGATTTAAAAAAGAAAATCAAGGCTACCCCCATTCATGTGAACCAGGCTCACCATAGTTACCCGCCTTTCGCTGAAATCTGTCAATACCAAATGATTTCTATCAGTTCTAATCTTCATACTGAGCTGATGCTCAAAGAATCTGATTAGATCCTAGTGAGAATAACATCCACATCACAAGATTTTCTCTAATCACGTTGTCCAAATCACTATTTTAGCCATGGCTAGCAATGACAGAAACAGCATCTGTTTTACTCAAATATATGGGGGTGCCACATTGTCACATGCATATGCACGATCAATGAGCACAAACTTTTTGAGAGTGATATGAGCTGTCAACTTGCTGACATAGCCCTATAGGGGGTACACCTGAAAATGGTAGGTGTGCAAAGCTGTTTCCTCTATGCTAAGGTCATATTGTTGACAGTCTAGCAAATCTGCCAAGCCCCATATAAAGGCCATGTCATTGAGAGATAGCCTATTCTGAACCAATCCCCTGGTAAGTGAAAACTCAGAGTTGCTGAGGTAATCCACTGCTGGTGCCCAAGACCAAAACTTATCCACAGATCCTTCATGCGCCTCTCCACTAGTTCATGATAGAAGACTCATAGGCTCACTGGACTGAGGAATGACCCTTGAGACCGAACAACACTCCAGGAGGAAATTATTGATTCCAGGGCTTATGTAGGTGCTCAGCTGTGATACAGGAGAAGTGAAAGTAAGGTTAGGGTTAGCCCTCACACTCCCCACCAAAATAAGTCCTCTATCAATGCGCAGTATAGGAAAGCCAACCTCAAGGTATGTTTATGACTTGCCAAGTGCGGCATTCCCAGCCACCCATGACATGGATGTTGGTCACAAAATTCTCTAGCAGCATTATCCACCCCCATAAGAGGGAGGAGAGCAAGTGCTCGATTGCCTTCTTACGTTCCTTACAGAGAGGAAGTACAGACAAGTGGTAAAGGATAAGAAGAAAGACGTAAGTTGCAGCTCTACTCTTCAAGGACAACCTCCTTCAGCACCAAGTTTTGACTGCTGCACCAATCTTCGTCTTTACTTCTGACTGATTTTTCTCCAGCTGGAGGTTGGGTCCAAACTATACTCTGATAATGTGGACAGTACCGTCTGTCCAACCAAAGGGCACTGGAAGATTCCCCCCTCCGTTCCAGGTACCTAACCGCAAGCCAGAAGACTTGTCATGGTTAATCTTGGCCCCCATTATGTTTTCATACTGTTCAAGTGTCTTGAATACCACCTCCGTGTCACTGTGGGATGACATGAAAGTAGATACATCATCAGTGTATATGGAAACCCAGGCTTGAGTCCCACCAGTGTCGGTGATTTGGTGAAGGAGAGTCTCCAAAGCATAAAATAGGGGTGACAGTGGACAACCCTGATGAACTGACCGAGACAGCACAAAAGCGCATGACTACCTTTCATTCACCTGTACCACAGCACTGGGGGAATGATACAGGAGGCTAGTCAACCAGCAGAAGTCTGGTTTGAATCTGGTGGCCTGCAGGACAGCAGCCAGGTAGTAATGGTTAACCCTATCAAATGCCTTGGACTGATCCAAATTGATCAGTGTGGCTTGCCCATTGTCTTTTACACTCTCTAGGATCATGCAGATTAGATTCAGGTTGCTCTGAATTGTTTGGCCCTTCACAGCACGAATCTGCTTTGGTCCCGATAGGATCTTGGCCAAAATCTTTAACTCTGTGTTTAGCAAAGTTATAGGCCTGTAATCATCTAAATCCTGCCCAACCCCCTTACCCTTTTTGAACAGCGTGATCACACCCCTGGAGATCTGGTCAGGGATGGACACCTGGTGGAACCAGTTGTTGAACACTACAGTCAAAATCTGAACAATTCATAAGGCAAACCATCAAGTCCTGGAGATTTACCTCTCCCGACTTTCGTCAATGCTATGTTGACCTTAGGCTCAGTGATCTCTCCTTCATAGTGAGCTCCTTCAGTCAGTGAAATCCAAGGAAAGTCAACCAAATAGCTCTGGTCTCTTTGTCACAAAGACCAGGCTCCTTGGTAAACTGGCTCTCAAAATGCTGCTGAAATGCCTCGCACATATTGTTGGTTGACCTCCGGGTTCTTGACCTATTCAATGTAGCAATCAGAACCTTGACAGATCTCTTCTTTGTGCAATTCTGCGCCCATGTTCAGTTTCGGAAGACATCTTGCTTAACTTGTATCTAATTACCTGACTCTGGTAGCACTTGCTAACCAAACACTGTAGGGCCTGCTTAGCTAGGTCTATTTCTAGGGGATCTCCCACAGCTTCTGCCTGGGAAAGACTATTCTTAAGAGCCTTCATCTTGTTAGCCTTATCTAGTGTGAGCTACTGGCTAAATTCAGTAGTGAAGGACCTAATCCTATTCTTAAGCCTCTTCCACCATCTATTCCCAATATTTGCCCCCACTAGTTCCTGCTTCACTAATGTAGTTAGTTGTTCTTGGGAGTCCTTCCTGCCCAGTAAAGACAGATTGAACTTCCAGTATCCAGCCACTCTAGGCCTAGAGTCTAATGCTACCCAGGCACAGACAAGTCTGAAAGAAATTGAATTAATGAAGTTAACTTCATTTATCTTTTATGAACTAGTTTTTGCTTATTTGTATCTCCTTTCATTTGTCTTGAAATTTTCATTGTATTTATTTCAAGAGATTATGTAGTTCTTGATTTTTCTGTTGTTAATCATGTTTGAGAATTATCACTAAAAATGTTATATACATAAATAGTAGGTACCTCTCAAGAACAGAAAAAAAGATACCTAAAGTTTAACATGAATTTTTAAAAAATGAAAAATCTTTCTTGAAGTTGAAGCTTTTATTTAACTTTAATTTCAAGCTTATAGATTAAAGTTAATATTTCCAATAAGAAACATACTTTGTTGTATTTCAAAAACTAATTTTAATTGACTGGTTTTTTTTTTTTTTTTTTTTTTTTTAATTGCAATGTAATTTTTTTTTTTTTTTTAAATCTTCCAAAAGTAAAATACACTTTTCTGAAACTTTATTTGAACTTTTTGATGAATATTAGCTGATTTAATGTATAATTAGCCCGCTTTAAGTTTAAAATATCATAGAAATGCATTTTTTAACCTGTCAGTACCTGTTTTTAACAGACTAGTTATATTTGTGTTTGACAAAGTGATGACAGGTCTAATGTTGTTCTATGGATACTTTGTTTGTAAAACATAATTTGTGAAAATATTCTCTGTAATCTAATGTTTTATTGAATTTTGGCTTTAAATTTACTATAGTCATTACTCTTATTTTCTGATAATGCCTTTTTTTTTTTTTTTTTTTTTTTTTGCAAGAATTTTCAAAACAATGTTTTTTAGCGTAAAAAAAATTGCTAAATTTCCTATACTCATCTTTTAGCACACCTCTGGCACAAGAAAAACAAGATTTTAACCAAAATTTCGAATATGTTAGAAAGGATTAAAAAATTAATAAAATAATAAATACTTTAGTCTTTCCTCTTAATAACATTTTGATAATAAAACTTTATCAAGTTTTTTTTTTTTTTTTTTTTTTTTTTTTTTTCATCATGCTATGCTCATTTTTAGACTTTTTTTTTTTTTTTGCAGGTACCTAATAAATAGCTGTTATCTCATTTTGCAATCATTGTAAAATTATGTAGATGAATTTTAATGAGTATAATTTTGAATTCTTGTTTTCTTTTTAATGAGACTATTACTTCTGATATCTGCTTTACACATCTAACTAATGACCCCATATGCCAGAATATGTCCATCTCTCAAAATAAGGAGTACCACCAGGGTTTAAATGAACTAATGTGACCCATGTGAAGAATGCTATTCACACCAATAAACAGTCCATAACTAATTTTTCACAACTTAGTGTTTATTTCTGTAATGATAAATATAAAACAATCAGTTATTGGATTAAAATTTTTGTTATGGGAATATCAGGGAATTGAACATTGTTTTGTGGTAGGGTGAAATTTGTTGCTTTTATATTTTAATATGTATAATTTGCAATTAACCATAGCTTTTTGATAAAAAAATAACCCTGGCAACAAAAATGGATAGAAACATTAGATTTACCACTCAGCTTTGGTAGTCATGTCACTTCCCTTATATATACTGTGATTTTATCACCTCTACTATTTATCAGCACTTTTATAGATTGGTCAGATCCTAGTCAAAAGCTTTTCTGTTTAAAAGGGCTTAGGGTCACATCATATTGAAGCACTGGTTCCCATATGGTCACCAAAGTTAATCAGCAATGAGCTCTATCAGTACCTGGATGGGTGACCCTTTGGGAGTACCAGGTATTGTCAGCTTGAATGTGTGAGTGGTGTGATGGATAATGGCCTGGAGTTGTTAATCAGAACAGTTTCAATTTTAGTTGAGTTTGTTTATATTCACTTAATGTGCAAATACCCATAGGAAAGGTATGAATCAACCTCTTCTAAGACTTGTATCACTAAAACCATTATTATCTTAAAAAAACATACAAAATATTGCATGAATTAACCCATAGAGGTTGATATGCAGCTAAACAAAAACAATCAACCAATTCTGTTTAAAAATTCACTTTATACATTATTTCAATTAAGATTTACTAGATTTATTTATAATGAAAAAAAATTACAATAGATATTCAGGTGGTGTACTGGATAGCAGTTTGGAATGAAAAATTGGGGGAGCTGCATTTGAATCAATCAGGCTTGTTAAATTCGTTTATGCACAAATATCCTTGGGAAAGGTATGAGTACCCTCCTCCTCTCCCACCTATAAGTTAAATAGTGAGATTTGTATCTAAGATCACATTTTTATTTAAAAAAAGTCTTTTTACATTCACTTTAAAAAATTCTTAGAATTCAAAATGCTTCAACTTTAAATAATATACAAACGGTTGATATGCTGAAAAAAAAACCCCCAAAAAAAACCCAAAAGCAAATCAATCATTTCCATTAGTCATATTTTGAAATTAAAAATTTCATACAAGTTTAATAACTATGAAACTAAAACTATAACACAATTACCTTTTTTCATTTTGAAAATGTAGAATTAAGTTTTAAATGCATATTTTTGTAAATTTTTAATAAAAATGTTTATACTTGGATACAGGATTTAAAAAAAAAAAACAAAAAAACTGTTGGTCAATGTTTAATTCTTTATGCCTTTTATTCTCTTGAGGTTTTTTAAGCTTTGCAGGATTTATATGAAGTTTTGAAATAGATTTTTCTTATGAGATTTTTCAAAATGTGACAAAAAATATCTCCAAATTTCTGGATTGGAATGTCACAGAATGACACTTGACTTCAAATTAGTAGTAAGAATTAATTAGAATATTTTATAAGAATAGTATTAAATTATTCAGTTGCCAAAATGATACAATGCACAAAGGTTGCAACATTTTTGTAAATTTTAAACTTAGTTTTGATTATGAATGTAAAATTGAATTTTTATTTATTTTATATTGTTATTCATTTGACTTATAAAAACATAAAAAATACAAGAATGAAGACAAAAAATTAGAATATAGTGCCATTTAATAAAATATTAATGAGGTGAAGCTTTGGCATAATTTTATTTTCCCCAAATAATTTCTTGGGTCACAAACCTCCAATCTGTACAGGTATGTGACAGAAGCAAGACTCTCAAAAATTTTCACATGACATCCAGTTCTAGTTATAAGTGGTACTCTGACTTGACCTGAAGTAAAAACACCATGTATTATCACAAAACTTTTTTGTGATTTTAAAAATAAATTCTGGTTGAGCAATCATAAGTTTCAAAGAATATAAAGTGTATTTACTTGTAGAATTTAGATATACATTGTATTAACATATTTGGAGGGTAATAGTTTTTATCAAATCTGTAACATTTTTGTTTATCATTAAATAATGTTAATTATTTTTATATATCTCTGGTAGTTCAAAAAAGTTTAAGACCATGATGATTATATTTGGAGTAGAGTTGAAATTACCCAGGTCAGAAAGGCCAGATAGGTTTTTCTATTTTCTTTTAAAATAGAAACAAGTTTACTGTCTTTTTGTTTTATTTTTCTTTCTTTCTAGTCTTTATCTATTGATATCACAATGTTCTCTAAATTGTTTCTGATAATCTTGTCAATTGTTTCCTAGCAAAAACAGATAACAATACTTGTTCATATGAGATATTAGCCTGAAGAGAAACAATGAAAATATCAACTAGAATTGGTCTTTTTTATTTACTGTTTAATGGTCAGTTTGTTTGTCAATGTGTGAATTACCAAATAGCTTTTCAGATGATATCTCTTATGTAATCTAGGTTTGTATAAACATTCTTTTTGGAAACTTTCTAATTTAAACTATTTATATAGGAAATAACTAGAACTAGAACTGTTTTAATAAGTTTTTCTTAGTACAAGGCTGCAAGTTATGTACAGTATCTGAGATTCCTAAGTAATCACCCATTTAAGTATTGAACAAGCTTAATGCTGCTTAACTTTGATCAAAGAACAAGGTTGTCAACATTATTTGTTTATTAGAAATATACAAAGGACTGTTTCTTGCATTGTTAATGGTACAAAAAGTTAACTTAGTTTTAGGGAATGTATTTTATGCTTATAACTTTGATATTCATATCTTAGAGATATTGTGAAACAGTTATGATTATAAAATAGGAAAACATAAAATCCTGAACTTATAAGAAATCTTGCTAGAAACACTTAATAAGTATGATAAAAATTGTACTCCACATACACCAATGTTTTGATGTATGCTTAAGTTATGTAGACTGAAAATAGGTGAGTTTGATAAAGAGAGGCTTGTTAGGTTAGAATCCATTATTTAGTAAATGCAAAATCCTTTGTTATTCTGGGATTAAGTAGTTTTCAGATAACAGAAAAAATAGACAAATTTACACTGATTTCAGGAACTTAAAAATGAATTTTTTTCTTTTTTTTTGTTTTGAACTTTTATTCTGAAAATAAATTGTCCTAAGGATTTTTTTTTTTTTTTTTTTTTTTTTTTTTTTTTTTTATACTAAGTTTTAAGCTAATGATATTTTATTTTTTATAATGCTCTCTCTCATATGATGTTTCTTGGAAGTTACCAAATTCACACCAAGGATTGCACCAGTGTCTTGGTAACCTTTATCTTAAACTCTTGTCTTTGGACTATTAAGTTGTTTTGCAGAAAAATTGTATATGTCTAATTTCGTTGGAATTTCTCTCATTTATAAGCTCATTTAATTTCTTACAATGTATAAATATTTTTATTTGTCTGCAATGAGAAATATAATGCCTGTCTTCAAGTTGTAACTTAAAAATGAATGTGTGGTTATTAGCGAATGATACTCCAACATTTTAATCACAAATTCTAATTCATTAATTTCTACTCCAGAAAATAGGATATTTTTATCATTGTTGGCTTGAGGTCTCACTTGAAATGTTTTTAGATGGATTCTTGACAATCAAACTCCTTGCTTTTGTATTTTTTGAATTCAACAATAATCTGTATTTATACATGATTCTTTGGTTACAGAGGATAATCATTAATTTCCTGTTAATGGCATGCTAAATAAATTCTTTGTATGAAAATAGATTTACATTTGAGCTTAGACATTAGAAAGTAAGAACCTAAATCTCTTATTTTTATGACTGATTTAAAAAGAAACTGTTTATTAGTGTTGTAATTGTTTGCTTATTACTATATTACAGATACATCATTATTCTTGTTCTAAAAAGTTATTTGATGGTATATAAGAACCACTTTATTTCTCTTCAAAATGGCTTGAAACTATTTCCTAGGTCTCGTATGTGAAGTTGACGTAGGCCAATATTTACCTAAATGTTGTAGGTTACTGATGTTTGTACCTAACCCAACTTCATGATAGTGTAATAATGACTGAAAGGCTACTTTGTGAAATGTTTCCTGCTATTCCAAAGGTATTTTTGTTCTTTTTCTTGCTACCTTTTATTTCATTAATTTCTATTTTCATTAATTTCTATTTCCATTCCAAAATGACTGCTTGACTTTTTATTTTTATATGTGACTACATGCAGTATTTTTTTTTTTTTTTTTTTTTTTAATCAATTATTTGATATTTTTGTTGCTGTTGTTATCTCAGTATTAAAGTTGTATAACAATGATCAAATCTGGTGTTTCATGTAAATCTAAATTTTATTTGAAGCCTTTGTAAGAAATTGCTTAATGATATTCACCTGAACCAAGACTTGTATTTCAACTTGTAAATGACACTAAACTAAAAGGTCATTTTAAAAAAAAAAAAAAAAAAAAAATAATAATTTTCACATTCTTAGTATTATGAAACTAATATCAGTTTAAACTGTTTTGTTATTTAAAAATGAAACATGAATTTCTTTTTAATGTTTTACGTAACTTTTTTAGATAGCAGAAAGAGCTTTGGATTAATGCTCCTAATAATATCCTAAATCCCTAGTTTAGGGATTAAAATCTTAAACTTGCAACTATTTCAGCCTAATCCATTTAAAAAATTACTTAATGATGTCTATAATAAATATCACAATATTACTCCTTAATTTTTATCATTTGTTAAAACAAATTTGAAAATTTTTTTGTGTAGATTTTTTAGATGTTTATATATTGATGTGAAGTCGAAGTATAGCACTAGTCAGTCGCTAAGCTTGCCTTCCTCCTACGTTATTCTCAATGACGAGTTATATAGGCTTTCTCTTATACTTATGCAAATTAGGCATATAAATTTGCCAGTATCACTACATCTTCCTGAAACGTATAGGTTTTATACCTCTAGTAGTTCTTGTACTTCTTCTCATGATAGTTTCATTACTTTGCTCTACTTCTCTCACTCCCGTATTTCTTTCTCTGGGAGACCTAGATCTGTCCCGTGCTAAGCTGTAATCGGAGGCATCTTCTTGCATTATTTGATCTTCGTCCAAACTTTCAAACTCATTCTGTCCCACTTGATCCTGCATTATTTCATCTTCTGATGTTTCATTCTGTAACGGTTGTTCTAATAAATCATTAATGGACGGAATCGTAGACATTTCCTCATCATTTTGCTCTTCATATTCACCCTGGGTCCTTATTTGATCTGCATGGGCTAATACACTGTTGCCATTTTCTCTATTTATTATAGCTGTATTGTGGCCTTTTTGCATGATAAATTCTGCCTTTTCCAGATTTGCTTCTTTGTTCTTTTTGTACCACATTTTTTCATTTGTGGAATATGACATCGTTAGCGGAGCTCTAATTTGTCTTCCCATTAAAGCTGATGGGCTTTCTAGTCTTCCAGCATGTAGTATTGTGTGATAGCTTAAAAACAGCCTCGGTAGAAAAACTTCTACT